CTGGTTCTACAGTACATTTTTTATCAATATGGTTATTTGAACAAAATCAATTCTCATTGAAATATAATTATTTCCTATGATTAATTTATATCATTGCAAAGATAATTCAAATTGTTTATCAAATTTATGGCAATATATGGCCACTTGACGGCACCGGAACTTCAGTATTGAGGGCATCCAATTTTAAGGCAAAAATTTCTAAAAAGAAAATTTCTTCAACTGATTGAAGAGAGTATTCTTGAGCACAGGACATCCAGGTTTTGTGCAACAAACAAGTAAACAATAAAATATTAGTGGTGATATTCACACCAAAGTCAAATTCATTTGAGACCACCACATTCCTAAGCAATGTTAACAAATGTCAGTGTTTTTATTCAGAAATTAGAATGCACAACATTACCACAGTGAATTTGCCATCCATGTTTCACCCATGGGTTTAATTAAGCTTTGCTCAGTATTGTGGAAGCCCCATAGACTTAACACTGCAAAGTTGAAAAGTGTGACATACGTCAGTCCATGGTTAGAATTGAATTAAAGGGCTTGGGGGCATTCAACACATGTTGTCTAAGTTTATATAAATAACAGGTCACGGATGTATTGAACAGCGCTGCCAAGTGGCCAATGTAAAAAAATGACATTCTCACCTGCAGACAGCCAGGCCCACACCAAGATAGTTTAGTAATAGATTATTAGGGACTTCTATACCAATTCCAAACCAGCCAAACCTACAACAGAACCATTTAACAATAAGACCACTGATATCATTATCATTATCATGTCAGGAATATGATTATGATTTTTTAACATTAAAATGATTGACATCTTGCATCTGATTGTCAAATGAGTACTTGTCCATATTGAGAGATATTGCTCTGGAACAGCATTAATTAAAACAAAATCGTCCATCTGAATACATCTATGTATCTATAACATAATGTATAATGAACATATAAAATTTGAATATAATCAGTCAAAGCATGTCAGAGATATGGCTCTAAAAGCACAATCATTAAAACAAAATGGCCGCCAGTCAGCAATTTTGAATCCAATCTTGAAAAATAAAATGACGTGCATGAGGAACCCGTAATGTCTAGAGACGACGTCAAAAGATCGATGTCGGATAAAAAACTTA